TTTTGTTCGTATAACGAATGCCATAGTTTATTGATGCTTGCAATTAGAGTAGTGCGCGCAGATCAAACTTTCAGAAGAAGTGATTAAGAATTTCACCTACGTAAAACTACCATTAAAATTTCCTAGTGCTCACCATTTGATACGATGATAAGTTAAATACGTGAGATTTTAACGAAAATAAATAAATTCCAACGAACAAAAAATTAACGTAAGCTTATATTTATTTGTGCGCTGATAAATTATTCATACTGTTACGAAAACATCAAACTCAATTTCTAAAAACATTCACAGGCCAAAATTATGAATTGGAATAAAAATATTTATCGCATCTGTTTCCTTAATTGTATTTGTTAAAAGAATTCTATCCCACTTGTTCGCATTGAAATTATACAGTACAATAAATTTCTGTAAAGTGTTATCAGGAAATAGATTTTCTCCAGACTCCGCTCTGCAGGAGAAAATATACAGAAAGTACAGCGTGAAAATGGAACATCGAGAGAAGAATGGAAATTTTATCTTTTGCACAAATGTACGTCAAATAAAACGATCATACACTCGATCAGTAAGTGAAAATTTATGCACACCGTGCATAATTTTACAAGACCAAGTTATGTGATTAGTAACAGAAAATGTTATTTGATTTTATTCTTCCATTAATATCGATTCAAATTTCGAGTAAAATACTTAATCGATATACCATAACTATTTTTCTTTTAAAATAAAAGAAAATAAATATATGTCCTCATTTAAACGAGATAACAAGTTGTAACGTTATTTGGTATATCTCGAGATAGTTGCGTAAATCATCAACTTTATAAAACTTCTTGGTGATTTTCACATAAAGAGAAATCAAAGCGACATTGACACGCAGGACGACGGTACTATGAAAAGAAGGAGCGAACGTGAATACCCGTTCCCCGTTAATGTCGTTAGCGTATCGGGGCAAGAATATCGATGGAGTAATACCATGGCGGCCAGTTTCGACAAATCCACGTTGAAAAAAAAAAGCCAATACGAAATGGAGGTCGATAGCGTGATGACCTCGAAGCCAATCGGCAATTTTACAATGCTGTGGCCTCTCGCATGAAAGATATGTATACGCGTGGTTCTGTACGGACGCTCTGTTGCCACGTCTTAATTCATTGTAGACCGTCCAAATACGTTTTCCCCACGAATCCCCTGCCGGTGTGCCGTGCCACTGACAGACCTTAAGGCGACGCCAGCGATATGGGCATATCTCCTTAAGAGAATCATTCGCTCCGATCATTGCTAACCAAAATCGACATTCTCCTGAATCGAGACGATCCGTAACGAACTTTCAAATGAATTACAATTATAATTACGTTGAAGATAACATTTATGTATATTAACAGTTCTATGTATCAAGTTTACAACAAATCATTGCTGTTTAGTAACATTTATTGAGATATTTGTTTTAGTGCTGCTAAAGATACGTACATTTTTCTTATTTCTGCTGTATTTCAGATTTATTTAATAAAGAAAATGTTTATATTTAATAGGTGTAAGGGTCTGTTCGCACGAAATATTTCCGTAAATTGAACTTTATCAATATTGGAGGTAAAAAATAATTTTCAAATAAAACGCATCGGGTAAACAATAGATAATATCGATATTCCTGGCAATTTTTTTCCATACGTGTTGAAAATAGCAAACGTGAGATATTGAATTGTGTGAAATTGTACGCGATTACATATTTTACTATATCACCTCTTTCACTGCGTCATATGACGATGTTTTATTGAAAAACTGTTGTGTTACCAATTGCTGATTCATTAAACTTATGATAAATATACATATATATACATATATATGTATATATATGTATATATGTAGTCTATATGTATGGAGTTACGCTAGCAGGTATACTTCTCGACTCGAAAGCAAGCTATGCCAGGTAAAACCTGTCCGCTTGGTTGCCTTTTTCCCTTTTGTGAGTAGGGCAGGTGGTTACAAGAGCGGACTTTCAAACGTGGAAGGGCGAAAAAAATCCATGACGAAACTTAAAGGAAAACTCCGCGAGAAAATAGCTCCGTTCTGTTACCGAACAAATACTGTAAGGCAAAATGTTCCTCAAAAATTTCTTCGCTGTGTTATTTGCCGAAAATGAATTTACATGCGTTATCGTCAACATTATGTAAAATAACAAAGTAAACATTTTTAAAACAAGAACATCTCCACAATACATTTCATATTTGCAAAGTACCCGTGGAAAAATGTTATTGTTAATGCCTTAACTACAGATTTCATTTTTTTTAACTAAAACGTTTTTTGTGTTGCATTGAACTTCCTTTTTCGTGTGTTATATAACAAAGTGGTATATGTACTTCAAAATCGAACATCGATTATGTGACATAAAAGTAGAATAAAATACCCACGATCAAACTGTAAAAATATTATTTCAGTACTAAACACTACATTAAAAATTAGTTATAGCCCATTTTTGTAACCTTTAGAACAAAAGGTATTGAACTTTTTATCTAAAAATCCTGATTTAATTATATTATTGAAGAATTTATTGATACTATTTACAAGATAATAAAGCAAATATAGAAGTGTACTACAATTTTTTATATAATGTATGTATTTTACAATACAACTTTATAAAAAAATTGTACTTGTTACATAAGTGGCATATACATGGAATAAAACTCCAAGTACATTGAACTCTACTTGCTATGCAAGAGACAACTACATAAGAAAGTGATGGTTAACATTATAAGGCAATGAAACAACCCTTTTGTCAAATTGATTTGCATACTTGTACATACATACATTTCTACACAAATATGACCCAATTTTTGATAAGAGTTAACATTATTTTTATAATATAAAATAACTTTCTAATTGCTGCTAACAATGAAATATTGACCACAAACTTCAATATTCATTCTATATACAATGTATAAAAAATATAACAGAAGTATTTGTTCTTATTTGCTAAATGCACAGTTTAGCAAATAAATATTCAAAAATGTACATCTATACATTGTTAAAGTAATATATAAAAAACATTGAAATTACTGTTAAAGAACTGTTTTATCAAACAATTACATTTCACTTGTATTGGTAATTAAATTAAACAAATATTTACGGCAATAACTTATTAAAATATATATAGAAAAATATCTACGTCTTGTATCAACTGTCGATACGAATGGGTATTATAAAACGCATAAGAAGCACAAGGACATCTGTAGAGGGCAGCACGAAACAGAGAATTAAAGATAAAAAATGAACGAAACGGGTGCTGTAAGAAAAACCGGTTACGTGTTCTTAACCCGAAATTTTTAATAAAACGAAGAAAATGTTTTTAGAACACATTTTGACAAAAATTATTGAAATATTGCACAGATTACAATCCATAAAAGATGAAAGCTTACCTTTTTTTGTTTCTACGTATTGTGAGATTCAAATTGCAACTGTCGTATCCAACCTCTAACGGACGAGGTACCAGTTCGAATTTTAATTTTCAAGAAAACATCACTTGTCTCTTCAAAATACTTGTACACACACTTTCTCGACACTATCACCTCGCAAATTCTTTCTCTGAGTACAAAAACAATGATTTGTCAAACACTTTTCTGACGACATATTCAGGAACGAAATTGTCAATCGCGAAACAACCGCATGGCATGGCGATCGCGGTTACAACTCGACATGTACGGTGTTTTAAACAATACATCTCAACCTTGATCTTTAATACTATTGGCTGATTTCAGTTCAACTGGTTTCGATCAACCAATTAACATTAAGATTTTCTTACTGCGCGGGAAAGTAAAATAAACTGTTTAGTAACGTTGAAAATATACCAAAAAACCTATACATAGTTAATTCCTTATTAAATTAAAAATAAATCTGTATGTTAAATCAAGTGTAACACTTTGGTTAAAGGAACTAATCGTAAGAAGTGAATATGTAAAAATTGTAATACAAATTTATGATAAATATAATAATAAATATGGTTATATATATATATGTATGTGTCATTGTTCTACTATTTCAATCAGATTTAAACATTTATGGTTAAAAGTAAGTTTAATCGTTGTTAAAAAAATAAACAATGAAAATCAGTGACAATTGCATAATATGCAATTTCATAATGTTCATTTATAATATATTAACTAAATTAAAAAAAATTTATACAAAATAAAAGTAGCAATAATATAAATTCTCGATAAGCTTCTTTTACAGAAATAAAATTAGTTTTACTTATTAATATTTTAATTCTCCTTAATTTAGTAATAGATAAATGCAACAGTATATTATATTACTTTGTAATTAAAAGTGTACATGTTTTACCAAAAACATAATAAAATAGTAACTACATTACAATTTGTTCAAATATTAGTTATTTTTTAAAATTGTGTTCTGGTAAGAGGACACTAATAGCAACGTATGGCGCTAAGGTGGCAGCACTTGAAGTACGCGTGCCTAGCTAGATATGTAAATTTCAGAATTTGAAAGTTTTGATGTGTACTTTTTGTAACTTTTGAAAGACTGATAAATGAAATGAAAATTGAAACGATATCTCTACTATTTAAAGTACCGCGCAATCTAAGGCTGACAGATGATTAGTAAACGTATAGCCAAATGATGAATTATTCAAATAATTCAATGAGTAGTGGAGTGACTGGTGATTCTGGTCTTCAATTGAACAATGTTGAAGTTTTGTATACTAAAGTGCAAAGAGTTTTTATTAAACCACAACATAACGAGGAACGTCAACGTGAGCTAAGAGTTAATGTGGAAATTCATGCAGGTATTAGTCCTGTGTGTCGCAAGGTAGCATACTTATAGTATTTATATTAACCTTCATTTCATTAATATACAATCCAATGTATTTCCTTACAATCAATTTTCTTTTTTAACTATCATTTTTAGTCTATATTTTCCATTTGTTATTAATTTAAAATTTTTTATAAAACCTTTAAAAGTATTTTTGTAACTTAATAATACATTATCTATTTACATTACAGAGCTTATGTGTTTTATTAGCAGATGATGACGATCCTTGCTTTCTTTACTCCTTATTTATCACTGAGGAGGATTTTAAAGTTCTAAAGTCTCAACAGGGATTATTAGTAGATTTTGATAACTTTGCAACTCAGTTAATATGTTTATTGGAACAATGTCAATTACCTTCAGCAAATTTATCAAAGCCACCACCAAAGTTTTTATTGCTGTTAGCAGAAGAAGGTGGAGAATGGATATTCAAATTGGTTGAAACAAATAATTTCAAACATTTGTGTCATTTAAGCTTAAATATATCACCTGCAAGTGACTCTAACATAAAAACACATATGGCCATGAAAATTAAACATTTGAAAGAAAATATTCTACAACAAAATAGAAATGCACATACTCTTGAAACAAGATTGAATGACTTATTAAACAAAGTAGAAACAAAAACAAATGAATTAGAACAACTGGAACAAAAATATGCAACAGAAAAAAATCAAATGCAAATATCTTCATCAGAACAAATATGCTTTGAAAAAGACAGGTATGTATCTAAGTAATGTATATGTCAAATTAATAATTTATTAAATATTTTTGGTGTTCTATAGATTTGCTAAAGCACGATTAGAGTGGCAGTGTCAAAATGAAAAAGAAAAAATAGAGGTAGAACGTAGACATACAGAAACTGTAAAGCAGCTTCATACAGAACTTGCAGAACTACGTACACAAAATTTAACATATAAAGATAAGTTGTCTCTCCTTGAAGCAACAAATGTGGAACAAATTAAGCAATTGCAAAATCTTGAAAAAGAGCTTAATGTCACTCAAAGAGATTTAAACTTATTAAAAAAGCAAAATTCTAAATTAGACACAGATTACCATGAAAAGGATAAAATGGTGAATAGTTTAAAAACAAAAGTTGCTGTATTTGAACAAGAATTAAAAGATAAAGCTATACTTATTAATAAACATACAGAAATGTTAAAAACAGTAAAAGAACAGAAACAACATCTTGAGGATCTGTTAACTGAAAAAGAGGGCCAGTTACAGCGTAAACAAAATTCGTTGCGAAATTTAAGTGATGAACTAGTAAAAGCTAATGAAATATTAACGAAATTACAAAATGAACTTGCTTCCACTAAATCTAAATTAAAACTAAGAACTAGTATAGCACTTGAACAGGAAAGGTTATTAGATACAAAACAAAAAGAAGTTGGTCAACTAGAAAATAAAATGGAAAGTTTAATAAAAGAAACAAAAGATGCAAAAATTGAAGTTGAAATTTTGAAAGAACAACTTAAAACTCAACAAAATCACTTAGAGGAGAAACAAAAAATTATAAAACATAACGATAATGGTAAAAGAATATTTTTAATAATATTGTAATGAAGTGTTTAGTCAATT